GGTGGCGCTGTGACTGCACGATCTGTATGTAAATGGCACGGGGTGGGGTGCTGGCTTGCAGGGGGTGGGTCTGGTGAGGGGGGCGGCCACAGGGGTGGGGTGTGTATGTGGGTGGGGAGTACTGATTAGTATTGATTGCTGGCAGGTGGGATCCCTATATACTGTATATAGTAAAAAGAAGAAAAACTATATGTCTGGTGCAGCAGTAGGAAATTTCAGGCTCCCGGGGAGTAAATGGTTTGTTTTTTTAATTTTTTTTTTTTTTTTTTTTTACTCCCAGGGAGCCTGAAAGTTTCTACTGCTGCTTTTTTAAACTAAAGCTAGAAAGGAAAACAAAGTTAGAAAGATAAGAAAGGAGAAGGAGAGAGAGAGAGAAGGAGAGAGAGAGAGAAGGAGAGAGAGAGAGAAGGAGAGAGAGAGAGAAGGAGAGAGAGAGAGAAGGAGAGAGAGAGAGAAGGAGAGAGAGAGAGAAGGAGAGAGAGAGAGAAGGAGAGAGAGAGAGAAGGAGAGAGAGAGAGAAGGAGAGAGAGAGAGAAGGAGAGAGAGAAGGAGAGAGAGAAGGAGAGAGGGGGGAAGAAGGAGAGAAAGAGAAGAGAGAGAAGCAAAGAGTTGGAAAAAATAGAGGGAGAGGAGAAAAGACAGAAGAGGAGAGAACAGGGACAAAGACAGAGAAAGAAGAGAGGAGGAGAGAACAGACAGAGGGAGGAGACAGAGAGGGAGAGGAGACAGAGAGGAAAAGATAGAAGAAAATAAAACAGGAAGACAGAGTGAGACAGGAAAAGGAGGGTGGGAGAACTGAAGAAGGACAGGAGTTAGAGGGAAAGGAAAGTGGTGAGGATTAGAGTGAAAGTGAAAACTTAGGAGTGGGGTGAAAAAGGAAAAGACTAAAGGCAAAAAAACACAAACCAAGGAAAAGGAGAACACTGAGAGAAAAAGAAGCAAGAAGACTGAGATTGACAGTGATAAGGAAACAGAAACAAAGGGTTAGAGATAGATGGAAGTTAAGTTAGAAATAGAACAGTAAAGTGAGGAGCAAAAGGAAGAAATACAGTGGAAAGAAATGACAAAACCACACCAAAAAAAAGACAGGAGCCACGGTGGGGAAAGGAAGGGCAGGGGGTATCTTTATTAAGGGTGACTCAACTTTATTGAAAGAATGCTTTTATTTATACATCAGCAAAATACATGGAAACAGTGTATACAAGTGCAAGTGCAGATACAATGCATAGACACACTGGTCAAAGTCTAATTTACATATAGAGCAATACAGCAAAATGAAGCAGTTAATGCAAATACAGAGCAGCAATACAGAGCAGCAATACAGAGCAGCACAGCAAAATGCAGCAGGTAAGGCAAATGCAATACAGAGCAATACACATATTAACACAAAGCGATAACCTTTTTCTATTTTCATTAGATGTTGATTTATTGTTACAGGAAACTCAAAACAACAAAAGCACACAGAAAACAACACTCATCTACCATTAACACCCCCTTCAGCTTACACACAAACTCACCATCACTGCCATCACAGTGGCAGCTAAATTACTCCACAGCAATCATTGGTCCTCAGGAACGCAGTTCCCGGGTGCCTCCAAAAAATCCTCCTGCCTGACAAAAACCCCGGTCCCTGGACGGTCTGCGCCCAAACTTTGGTGATGAATGTTGCCTCGCAGACCGACCGGGACCTGGGAAAAAAAAAACCCAGCCGGGGGGAAAAAAAAAAAAAACCCCCCGGCTGGGGATTTTTTATTCTAAATTTAAAAATGAATTACAAAACCTGAAAAGCAAAAGTCATATAAGGTTACAACCCTTCAACACACACACACCTCCTTCAGCTTACACACAAACCCACGCTGACTCACACCTCAAGCGCTCTGCTAACCCCCGGCACGCATTCGCGCCGCTCCTCGGGAACGCGGTTCCCGGGAGCCTCCAAAAAATCCTCCTGCCTGACAAAAACCCCGGTCCCTGGACGGTCTGCGCCCAAACTTTGGTGATGAATGTTGCCTCGCAGACCGACCGGGACCCGGGAAAAAAAAAACCCAGCCGGGGGGAAAAAAAAAAAAAACCCCCCGGCTGGGGATTTTTTATTCTAAATTTAAAAATGAGTTGAAAAACCTGAAAAGCAAAAGTCATATAAGGTTACAACCCTTCAACACACACATAAACACACACACACCTCCTTCAGCTTACACACAAACCCACGCTGACTCACACCTCAACCGCTCTGCTAACCCCCGGCACGCATTCGCGCCGCTCCTCGGGAACGCGGTTCCCGGGAGCCTCCAAAAAAATCCTCCTGCCTGACAAAAACCCCGGTCCCTGGACGGTCTGCGCCCAAACTTTGGTGATGAATGTTGCCTCGCAGACCGACCGGGACCCGGGAAAAAAAAACCCAGCCGGGGGGAAAAAAAAAAAAACCCCCCGGCTGGGGATTTTTTATTCTAAATTTAAAAATGAATTACAAAACCTGAAAAGCAAAAGTCACATACACAAGGTTAAAACTAGTCAGCATGTGCTCACACACACAGAGACGAGTGGACACAGACACACACAGTCATGTGCTCTCACACACGCTCACATGCTCTTCCTGCTTACAGGCTCGCTATGGCCCTTACTCGAGACGCTGAAGAACGTGCTTTGACGCGTCTCCTGGCTGCCACTCCTTGACGTCGAATGGTAGATTCTGGGGAAATCGGTAGCCTCGAGGACCTGTGAGACGACAGGAAGTGGTCAACTTGTGGCTGACAGCTAGGAATTTTCCCCACTCTGGACCAATACATTTTCTACCCAATATGCCATAAAAGACAGATGAACAGTAAAGTTTTTACAACTGTTCTACCTAACTATGACTATATGCCAGGGCAGGGCAGCTCCAATCATAAGTGGTATATTATAAGTACATACAATATAAGCAAACGCATACAGTGCAAGTGTACATACAGTGTAAGCCTACACAATACAAGCCGACACAGGTACACGCAATATAAGTATATACAATATAAGCCTATACAATACAAGCCAACACAGGTACACGCAATATAAGTATATACAATATAAGCCTATACAATACAAGCCAACACAGGTACACGCAATATAAGTATATACAATATAAGCCTATACAATACAAGCCAACACAGGTACACGCAATATAAGTATATACAATATAAGCCTATACAATACAAGCCAACACAGGTACACGCAATATAAGTATATACAATATAAGCCTATACAATATAAGCCAACAAAGGTACATGCAATATAGGTACACACAATACAAGCCAACACAGGTACACGCAATATAAGTATATACAATATAAGCCTATACAATATAAGCCAACAAAGGTACATGCAATATAGGTACACACAATACAAGCCAACACAGGTACACGCAATATAAGTATATACAATATAAGCCTATACAATATAAGCCAACAAAGGTACATGCAATATAGGTACACACAATACAAGCCAACACAGGTACACGCAATATAAGTATATACAATATAAGCCTATACAATATAAGCCAACAAAGGTACATGCAATATAGGTACACACAATACAAGCCAACACAGGTACACGCAATATAAGTATATACAATATAAGCCTATACAATATAAGCCAACAAAGGTACATGCAATATAGCTACACACAATACAAACCAACACAGGTACACACAATATAAGTATATACAATATAAGCCTATACAATATAAGCCAACAAAGGTACATGCAATATAGCTACACACAATACAAGCCAACATAGGTACACGCAATATAAGCCAAGACTTGAGATAACTCTGTGGAAGATTAATTGTTGGGCCCCATACCCTTTGAGAAGATGGAACCTACAGAACAACTGCAGTCACTTGAGGAGGGTGTAAGACGCTCCCTCTAGAAGTCCAAGATAATGGCATGGAAAAAAAAGCACTACCAAAGCTGGTAGTGAGAAGGAAGATGGATGAGAAAATCTTGTAATCCTTTCCTGTCTCAAAGAGTAAAAATGTAAAGATGCCAGAATAAGCTCTATCTGGGAAGGAATGTGAGTAAAATACTGCCTATATGGCACAAAATAGTGCCTGTAAAGTGTCGAGATGTAACAAAGGCCTATGACACGGAAGACAATAGACACAGACTACATAACACGGACGACACAACATAGACACGGATGGCATAACAGAGACACGAGTAAACTGCCTAGCGCTTTCAACTTATGGACCCGAGATTCGTAGCGCAAGATGAGCCAGAGGCCGATGATGCCAAAGGAAAGAAAGCCCTATGATGATGGCACGTGATGATGAAACGTAACTCATTAAAAGAAGTTAGTGCCGAAGCAGTTAAGAGGATGCTCGAGAGGCTCGGCGAGCCTAGAGAAGGAAGCCGACTGCCGGGTGACCGTGGCCGTAGCTCCGGACCTGAAGGCGAGCTCCTCGGGGGAAAGATCCGTGACGACGTCGAGTCGAGGAAGGCGGACGACGCAAAGTTCCCGAGAACGTGGAGATGGGTTGGAACTGCCCTGCCCGGCAAAGGCTCTGGTGAGGCTGAGGAGAAACCCTCTCCCTTTACTTCCAGAGAGCCTGTCCCGCTACAGACCTCTCCGCTAAGCTGACGTGAAATTGCCCCCTGTGATAGTAAAGGTTTTTCCCCTTCTCCCGACCGCTGGCCCCGACACTTAGCTTTTGGAAGAGGAGCGGACAAAATCCATCCTCGGTCGCACGTGGACGTTGATATGTTCTCCACGTGTGCTTCGGTGTTGCCGTTTCTAAGCTTTGGGTAAGAGCCTCCTCAGGGTACCTAAGACAAAACAGAAAAGGTGACTATTGCCCTCAACAACAGTAATCCCTGGGACTCCTCCGCACCACTGCCCCGGCTCACCTCAAATCTTGATTTGACTCCGGAGGCTGGCCAGAAGATACCTGCAAAGAGAAAAGGTACATGCTTAGCATGCTGCTGCATAACATTCACCTATGAGTCAGCCTGCCTAAACGCCGACTCACCTGCCCTCCTCTGTTCCTTGGCGTACCTAGGGCAGCAACAGCACCTGCAAAGTAACAAAGCAGAAAAGCATGCTGAGATACTGTGAAAACACAACCTCCCAAATCTGACAAATATGCCACACCGATACCTTAAGCTCGCACCCACCTGGCACGGATATGCTCGGCTAGGATAGATTGCAAGCGGACCACCTAAAATAAAAAAAAAAAAAAGAGATGCTTAAAGCTGCACCAGAAACTGAGACCTCAGCAATAACAATTGCTTCTGTACGCTAGTCAATGCTCACCTCGCCCACTTGGCCTTGACTGCTGCTCTCGGCTTTAACTTCCTAAAAAGAGAGACAAAGAACAATGCTGTAACAGCCACCAATTATGCTTCCTCTACAGAAACAAGTAGTGCCTCACCTGCTTGGGGGAATCCCCTCAGCCGGGATGGGGCCCTCTGGCACGGATTTAATCCATCTGAATCTGAAAAAAGGTTAGGACAAGAGTCAAACTGTTGCAGGATAACTTAAGAGCTCCAGATATCTTGTGTCCATTTACAAATCCCATCTAGAGTCCAACTACACCCCACATTACAAACTTCAAGTCCCCGGGACTTCTCCTATTGCACCGGGCTACGCGGCAGGGCAGCGCAGCTCCGGCACAAATGTGTGTGCTGACACCCGTGACACGGGACGGGACAGACAACGGGGACGCAACACAGACAGAAATCTCCTGGCAAGGAAAATGGCTGCGAGGACTGAGAGAATGCAAAATGAGATGACCGAGGTGAAACTGATGGTGGGCTGATGAGGCTCAGAGAACCCGGGAGGAAAAAGATGCTAACTGAATGATTTATTCCAAGAACTGCAAAGATGGATGCCCGAGAATCCTACAGCCAGAAGCCTCTACCTGCCCTCACATTCTTACAAGTCCTAGTCCGCCATAATGGATCCTGGCGGGGTATAGCTGTCCATACAGCTCAGAACAAGACCTGAGAAAACAGCTGACTGGATGCTTATAAAAAGAGATGAGAGTCTGAGCTCCCGAGTCAAAAGTTCTATGGCATGGGTGCCAGGCCAAGGAACGCTGAGAGCACAGATGCTAAGACTGGTGCCAAGGTTTCTGATAGGCCCCTCAAAGGGCTAAGATAAAAGACATGAGACAGCTAAACAAGACATAATGCACAACAGACAAGTGACACAATACACACCGGGACTGCTCTGCCCTGCTCACCTCAGCATGGTGATCAAAAGTGAGATTTTGCTTTTAGGGGGCCTAAGGGGCCACTTCTTGGCTACCCTCGTCTCCAGAGCCAACTCAAAACCTCCCCCATCCCAGGAGTGCCGACCCAGCACCTCGCTTTCATCCCCTCTGTGGGTCGTGGCCCTCTACTTATCTCTCAGACATCCGGGGATGCCGGTCCGTGTCGGGTGCGAAGAAAGGCCGCCTCGCCGGCTGGGAAGTTGTGCTGTCACCGGGCTGTTGTCTCTTAGACAGCTATATTAAAGAAAACCAAACATCCACGCCTGACCTTGGCACCACATCGGCCAAAACCCCACAAGTCTGCTACTCACCGTTCTCCTAAGAAGGCCTGGCACCTCGTAACCGTAACCCTCTGCCACAGATGTAATTCATCTGCACCTGAAAGAAAGGTAGAACATATGTCAAACACCTGCAGGATAACTCAAAAGCTGCAAACACCTTATGTCAACCTAGGAATAGCATCTAGAGTCCAAGTACAGCCCACATTACAACTTTCAACTCGCCGGGGCTTCTCCTATTACACCAGGCTATGCGGCAGGGCAGAGCAGCTCCGGCACAAATGTGTGTGCTGACACCTGTGACACGGGACAGACGGGACACGACAAACAATGGGCACAAGACACGGACAGAAATCTCTAGGCAAGAAGGATGACTGCGAGGACTGAGAAGATGCCAAATGAGATGACCGAGGTAAGACAGACCGATGGCGAGCTGATAAGGCTCAGAGTGCCCTGGAGAAGGAAGATGCTAAACTGAATGTTTTAGTCCAAGAACTGCAAAGATGAATGCACAGGAGCCCTACGGTCAGAAGCCTCTACCTGCCCTCACATTCTTACAAGTCCTAATCCACCATAATAGAACCTTGCAGGGTGCAGCTGTCCATACAGCTCAGAACAAGACCTGAAAAGACATCTGACTGGATGCTTACAAAGAGTTGCAATTCTGATGCCTGTCTGAGCTCCCGAGTCAAAAGTTTTATGGCCTGGGTGCCGGGCCAAAGAAACGTGGAGATCGTGGCTGCTAAGAATACTGCCGAGGTTTCTGATAGGCCCCTCAAAGGGCTAAGATAAAAGGCATGAGACACCCAAACAAGACATAATGCACGGTAGACAAGTGACACAATACACACCGGGACTGCTCTGCCCTGTGCACCTCAGCACTGTGATCCAAAGTGAGACTTCGCTTTTAGGGGGCCTAAGGGGCCACTTCTTGGCTACCCTCATCTCCAGAGCCAACTCAAGACCTCCCCTCCCCGATCCCAGGAGTCCCAACCCAGCACCTTGCTTTCATCCCCTCTGGGTCAGAGCCCTCTACTTATCTCTCGGACATCTGGGGATGCCGGTCCGTGTTGGGTGCGAAGAAAGGCCGCCTCGCCGGCTGGGAAGGGCCTGCTGGCACCAGGCTGGTGTCTCTTAGACAGCTATATTAAAGAAAACCAAACATCAGTGCCTGATCTTGGCAGCCCATCGGCCAAAACCCCACAAGTCTGCTACTCACCCTTCTCCTAAGAAGGCCCGGCTCCTCGGGTCACACGCTTTGGGCACGCTCAGAGGCCGACACCGTCGTCGTGGGATACGCCTGGGTTAAAAAGACAGGAGGTGATGTGGCATTGCTGAAAACTGACTGGACCCTCGGTCCTCCTCCCTACTTCCCTGACTCACCGCAACTCCTCGGTGGTTCCTGACTGCTACCCAGAAGACAGGGCTCATCAGGGTGGAAAATTCGGTCCGTCTGCCGGTTGGGGATGGGAGCTTGGCGTGCTCTGAGTGGATTGCCTAAAGCACAAAAACGAGAATGGAGACTTAGACTTGCCCCCGTAGAATTCAGACCTCAGCAACAAGAAAGGCTACTGCTCACCTTGCTCTCTTGACGGCTGGGATCCAGCTATACTTCCTAAAAATAAAGACAAAAAACAGCGCTGTAATAGGGTCACACTTGACACTCCCCCTGCACAGACAAATGGTGACTGACCTGCTTGTGGGAACCCCCTCACCCAGGATGGGGGGCTCTGCCATGGATGCAATGCATCTGCACCTGAAAGAAAGGTAGAACATATGTCAAACACCTGCAGGATAACTCAAAAGCTGCAAACACCTTATGTCAACCTAGGAATAGCATCTAGAGTCCAAGTACAGCCCACATTACAACCTTCAACTCGCCGGGGCTTCTCCTATTACACCAGGCTATGTGGCAGGGCAGAGCAGCTCCGGCACAAATGTGTGTGCTGACACCTGTGACACGGGACAGACAGGACGTGACAAACAATGGGCACACAAAACAGACAAATCTCTGGGCAAGAAGGATGACTGCAAGGACTGAGAAGATGCCAAATGAGATGACCGAGGTGAGACCGATGGCAAGCTGACGAGGCTCAGAAAACACTGAAGGAAGAAGATGCTAACTGAATGATTTATTCCAAGAACTAAAAAAATGGATGCCCAAGAATCCTACGGTCAGAAGCCTCTACCTGCCCTCACATTCTTTCAAGTCCAAGTCTGCCTTAATGGATCCTGGCGGGACATAGCTGTCCATACAGCGCAGAACAAGACCTGAAAAGACATCTGACCGGATGCTTCTAAAGAGACAAGAGTCTGATGCCTGTCTGAGCTCCCGAGTCAAAAGTTCTATGGCATGGGTGCCAGGCCAAGGAATGCAGAGATCACAGATGCTAACAATGATGCCAGGGTTTCTGACAGGCCCCACCAAGGCCTAAGGTAAAAGACATGACATATGCAAACAACACATAATACACAAAAGACAAGTGACACGATACACACCGGGACTGCTCTGCCCTGCGCACCTCAGCACTGTGATCAAAAGTCAGGTTTTCCTTTTATGGAGCCTAAGGGGCCGCTTCATAGACACCCCCCACCTCCAAAGCGGACTCAAAAACCCCTCCCAGTAATTCCCAAACCAGCACCCTGCTTTCATCCCCTCTGTGGGTCGTGGCCCTCTACTTATCTCTCGGACATCTGAGGATGCCGGTCTCCGGTGCGAAGAAAGGCCGCTTCGTCAGCTGGGAAGGTCCTGCTGGCACCGGGCTGGTGTCTCTTAGACAGCTGTATTAAAGAAAACCAAACATCAGTGCCCGATCTTGGCAGCCCATTGGCCAAAACCCCACAAGTGTGCTACTCACCCTTCTCCTAAGAATGCTCGGCTGCTCGGGCCGCACGCTTCGGGCACGCTCGGAGACTGAGGCTGTCGTCACAGGGGGTGCCTGGGTTAAGAGGAGAGGAGGTGATTTGGCATGGCTGAAACCTGAGTGGAACCTGGCTCCTCCTCCCTACTTCCCCTACTCACCGCAACTCCTCAGCAGCTGCTGAAGGCCACCTGGATGGCACCTTTAAATAGAAGAGTTCAGGGTTTCATCACCAGGTCCTGTAATGCATCCACAGGGCTCACACGTGCAGGGAACCCGGTGCATCGGCCGGCTGGTGACGAGGGCTTGACAGGCTCCGAGTGGATTGCCTAAAGTACAAAAAAGAGAATGGCAGCTTAGAGCAGCACCAGAAACTGAGACTGGAGCAATAACAGCTACTTCTCTCCACTGCTCACCTTGACTGCTGGTATCCAGACTTAGTTCCTAAAAAGAAAGACAAAGAACAGAGCTGTAACAGAGTCACCACATACACTTCTGCTGCAGAGACAAATGGTGCCTCACCTGCTCGGGGGAAACCACTCACCCGGGATGGGGCCCTCTGGCACAGATTTAATCCATCTGAATCTGAAAAAAAAGTTAGGACAAGAGTCAAACTGTTGCAGGATAACTTAAAAGCTCCAGATATCTTGTGTCCATCTAGGGTCCAACTACACCCCGCATTACAAACTTCAAGTCCCCGGGACTTCTCCTATTGCACCAGGCTATGTGGCAGGGCAGAGCAGCTCCGGCACAAATGTGTGCAGACACCCGTGAAACGGGACGGGACGTGACAAACAACGGGAACACGACACGGACAGAAATCTCCTGGCAAGGAAAATGGCTGCGAGGACTGAGAAGATGCAAAAGGAGATGAGCAAGGGGAGACCGATGGTGAGCTGATGAGGCTCAGAGAAACCTGGAGGAAGAAGATGC